CACCTCACAACAAAACACTCATCACGTTTAAACAACCTTCTAGCACACCTCACAACAAAACACTCATCACGTTTAAACAACCTTCTACCATACCTCACAACAAAACACACATCACGTTTAAACAAACATAAGCCCAGTAGCTTCTTCCATATCTGTTTGGGTTAAACCTTTTCACCATGTGGGGGTGAAGAGAAACAAAAGTTTCTGACCATCCCGGGTTGTTTTTCAGGCCCCAAAATTTTCTTTGAGGCTGGGATTGGATTGAATGGAGTGAGTGTTATATATAACAATTCAAAACGTTTCTAAGAAAACCTGTGACCACTCAGAAACAAATGTCACGTAATAAAAAGGACGTAACACAGGCACCAAATTGTGACCATCACAGTTACATGTCATCTTTGGTGGGAATGCAGCAACCCCACAAAACAATAGATAAGTTCGTTGACCAGTCAAGTTACAGTAATAACCCAAGATGAATTTTGCTGATGACATCAAGTGGATTTAGTACATCTAAAATAGAACTTAAAAATATGTTGAAATTATGATATATTTATTCAAGGAGAGTAAGGTATGTGATATTCTGTATACTACAAGTATATGTTACTGTTGAGATTAAAGGGCAATCTGGATAACTACATTTACCAAGATTCTGTTAATAATTTATTTATCGATTAAAGTGGCTGTGTTTTGACTTATCAACAAATCTTGTGACATAATATCTGGCCTTTTAATTAGCTTGTAAACACGGAAACCTATCATGTTAATATATACAGGTCTCTTGATGAGTCTGCTTTGGAAGCTATCCAATGGCCAATTCCTAAATTGAGTTCAAATGATGGCAATTTGGAAAAGCCACGACCGACTACAGTGCCTCCTATTTTTGTTGATGATAGGTCACCTGACACAAATCGCAGTCAGTCACAGCCCTCCAACCACAGTCAGGTAGGCTTAGCTTGTATTTTTGTGATTAAAAAATTGAGTTCTGTTTCACATATACAGGAACAAAAAAACACACTTGTTTGTTGTTTTAATTGAATGTATCAGTACCGTCTAAAAGCCTTGTGTTCAGATACATTCCTTCTGGACAAAAATGAGTGTATGATGTAAGTTAGAAATTTCCTGATAAATAAATTAAGACCAATTGTTATTGAATACAAAACAAAAATCATGAATAGTTATAAAAAGAAGTGGAGGTTTGAGAATAATGTTTAAATCAGTTTTATTTCCTTCAGAAAATGTTATAATAGAAACCTACTACATGGAGTGGTTCAAGATGACATCTTTTAGCATTTCTTTATTAAGTTCTTGTTTTAGAAAAGACAGTGGTAAAATAAGTTCACTGTCATATTTCAGTGGTAAAATAAGTTCACTAGTCATATTTCTGTGGTAAAATAAGTTCACTAGTCATATTTCAGTGGTAAAGTAAGTTCACTAGTCATATTTCAGTGGTAAAATAAGTTCACTAGTCATATTTCTGTGGTAAAATAAGTTCACTAGTCATATTTCTGTGGTAAAGTAAGTTCACTAGTCATATATCTGTGGTAAAATAAGTTCACTAGTCATATATCTGTGGTAAAATAAGTTTACTAGTCATATTTCAATGGTAAAGTAAGTTCACTAGTCATATTTCTGTGGTAAAATAAGTTCACTAGTCATATATCTGTGGTAAAATAAGTTCACTAGTCATAGTTCTGTGGTAAAATAAGTTCACTAGTCATATTTCAGTGGTAAAATAAGTTCACTAGTCATATTTCAGTGGTAAAGTAAGTTCACTAGTCATATTTCTGTGTAGAGTAAACTACAATAGCTGGAACTGTGATAGAGTAAACTACAATAGCTGGAACTGTGATAGAGTAAACTACAATGGCTGG